CAGACGCAGCTCATGTCTCAACGCGTAAGTTTATCGATAAGTTTGTCAGCTATGGAAATTGAAAAAATAAATAAAAACTATTTATTTCATCGTATACAATAATAGATGTCATGAGTATACAACCAACAGTTTTTATTTGACTTCAAACATAATTATCCTAATAAAATTGAAAAAACGCGAAAATTTGTATGCATATTTGTTACTCTTTCACGCTAAAACGGTTAAACGGATTTGTATGAAATTAAGAGCGCATAGTTTATGACCTAGATAAAGACATAGAATTAACGATATTAAATACCCTAGAAACACCACGATCGCTCAAAATGTGTCCCCATCAAGAAGTACTTGAACTCCAATCAATCGCGGACCGTTGAAAAGTCAAGATGCCAAAGAGTTCCGTGAAAAAATACAGAAAAATACTAATAGTACGTAAGCTGTCGTTTTTGCGACGGGTAGCTAATTAATGTTTTTTAATTAACGCCTTTAAAGCAAATTTTATTGTTGTAATACTTACTATAAACTGATTTAATATAAAATATTTGTGATATTCAAATGCATGGTCGGTTATACGTCGCCCTTAGCCATCTCTTTTCTTCGCGATCTGTACCTGCTATATTGCTAACAGCGCATTCAGAATTGCGCGCGAAAAGTAAAAAAAAATAAGGTCTATATTCTTTCACACATAACAATAAATCGTAAAATTTTACGAACTTGACGCATGCTTTTTATTAAGACCTTATGCCGTATGCATTAAAGGTGACTTTCAATGTTTAAATAAGGCATTATATTGTTTTTGACCACACGATCATCTTACGGACCTCCGTGGATCGTCCAATGTACCTTTTGGACACGTTTCGGCCACGATTTTGTTCGTGTTGTTGTATCTAGGGTAGTTAATATCGTTGCATTAATACTTCTTGTCCTGGGAGTGTTTTTTTTTGTTGTGTTGCTTATATATAATTTACTATGTAGTTACTAGTCGCGCCATGTAATTAGAACGCTGGAAGAAAGTGGAGAGGGTATGATTACGCATTTGCTTACACTCGCGCACCAAAGTACTAGGCCTCTGTTCTAAATTGTTTATCGATAGAAAATATCGATATTTTCTAAAATCGATCTTACCCTCATCACTTCGCTGCACTGAGTATATGATCTGACCTTGACGCGTCCAATCACAGCGGGGCTGACCTCCCTGCACCCCACCGACTTTGGCGATTTTGATTCCAAACAAAATTTGTGTGATGCGGACTCTAGTGGGGGTGCTCCATGCGGCGCATTAAGTGGCCGGTGCGGGCCACAAGAAGCGAGCAACGACGATATGTAGCGTGTGGCGGCCACCGGCGTACCGTGTGTGGCGAGTCCATATAAAATGTATGAAAACTACAAGAAATATGCCGGAGGCGGCGTTTTGTGGTTGTGGTCGGTGGCCCGTGTGCGGCGACACTTACAGTAGTAGTAGTACAGTACCGAATTCAGATGAATACCACAAAATAGATAATAATAATACCATGTTACCCAGGGAATGGTGATGTTATTGATAAATCGTGACCTTCATAGTACACTACACTCGCCAGTCGTCAAAGCTTTGGTGGGCTTGAGAAGGGCGACTCTCAATCCGTGATTTCTACGGACATGGAGAGAGAGACTACGAAAAAAATTTAATATTTCACAGAGAAATAAAATAATGAGCATTTTAAATAAATGTTCTTTTATTAAAATATCCAGCATTTTTTCTTCTCAACATGACAATAGATTTGCACACCCCATTGGGTAAGAATATAGGATGCTGTTTATCTCTGTATCACCATTTGTTACCATATTCTGCGAATAAAGATGATTATGATTATGTGTTTTAAAAAATTTCAATGATAGGTGACCCCTACTCAAGAGACACCCCCCCCCCCCCCACACGCCTACCTTCGACCATAATTTACCACTAATCTTGTACCAACAGCTGTCACGATAGGGTTGACGCTTGACTTGTTAGCGCGCTGGCTTAAAGGATGAATTGTTGTGAAATTCTTACCGATTAAATTTACCGCTTTCTATTGTTTGAAGGCTTTAACAATTAGCAATGTGGTTAGGAAAGGTTGTTAACCTTGAGGACTTCGATGCTCTATCTAAATCAGGCACCTTGTTTTGGTAGTCATGTAATAGCTGGCACAGATTATTTGATTATTTTATTCGTATTATTGTACTTTTTGTATGCAAGGCACAGTAAATACACTTTATTACCTAATGTTAGCGCAGGTGATGGACAAAAAAATGTGCGGCTCCAGCTATCCTTACCATGCTGGCCTGATCTCGATTCTCTAACTATGTCCATCATGAAATCGTCCTTGCCAACATAAAAACAATATATCGACTAAGGAAAAGCAAACTAGCTAAAACGCCACTTGAGTAACTTTACAGAAACGAGTGAGTAGCGATTTTGCCTTTCCACTGTTGAATATTTACTGTGGTTTTCTGTAACGCAAAATCCACGTCCAGTTATAGCATACCTCTTAAATTTTCTTAAAATTAATTACTTAAGTAACAAGAAAATATTAGTTTAACTAATATTTTCTCATTAATGAACTGATTAATTTTTGTACTCGACAAACTAAAGATTGGCACAGAGCGGCAGCCCTAACTCTTTTAGAAAATTAAAAGAAATAACATTTCTCTCGACTCCGCCCATTACCACGTGATGAGCTTACATTTATTTTATAAATCGGTTTATAGGTATGTTTATAATAACCTATTTTTTTAATTACTATTCACCTTTTAGCTCGATGGCGCGGGTGGTTAGCGCGTTCGGCTGCGATCGTTGAATTTAAGCACTTTCGCAGTGGTCGGTCATTGGAAGGATGACCAAAAATATTCTATCTCGAATTCCCCCGTGCTTCGGAAGGCACGTTAATACCGGCCACACTACGAGAAATCGTTACGATCAGACTGTACAGTTCGAACGGAACAGTTTATACGATTTCGTTTAGTATAGGAAACTGTGCAGTTTTATAACATACACGCTACGATTTATCGATACCGTTCTTCGGACTGTACAGTCTAATCGTAACGATTTCTCGTAGTGTGTATGGCCGGTATAAGGCGTTGGACCCGGCTGCATCTGCAGTCGTTAGCACCCGCCAATCCGCACTGAGCCCGCATGGTCATGGCCCAATCTCCGAATTCCATCCATTGGAAAGGTCTGTGCCCCAGCAGTGGGGACATTAATAGGCTGATGATGATTCACCTTTTAAGGTTAATTTATGCTGAACGACCCCTGAGAGAAGAATCGACGGTACCGGAAGGGCTTCGGCTAATAATGTCAGATAAAATATTAAATTGCCTTTAAATTTCGAAGAATTCGCATTAAGATAAATCGGTAAATAGATTTTAAGAGTGCCCTTTTAAGTATTAATTGAGGATATTTTTCAAAAGCGTTGTTATCGCATTTGACTGGGATTTTACTGATGCGTTATATTTGCATTTTGTATATTCACATTGGGTTTTTTTATTATTTGCTAGCGGTTAAACTTAAACAATATTATAAATAGTCTTCCTCTATATATCTATATATATATAAAACTCAAAAGTGACTGACTTACTGACATATTGATCTATCAACGCACAGCCCAAAACACTGGACGGATCGGTCTGAAATTTGGCATGCAGGTAGATGTTATGACGTAGGTATCCGCTAAGAAAGGATTTTGATCAATTCTACCCCCAAGGGGATAAAAAGGGACTGAAAGTTTGTATGAAACTTTGTCAATTTTAAACCGATCGGGCTGAGACTGCATGCAGGTATAAGAAGAATCATAGATGAATGTCATTGTGTATAATACAAGCCTGAGAACAAAAACTGTAGTCTATACTTCAACTACACCGAAGCGAAGCGAGGGCGGGCCGCTAGTCTTACTATATTTGCGAGCGATGATGATAATAAATAACTATAATAATATTTTCCCAACAACCACGGCAATTTATTTAGCCTATTATATTATCATACTGACCGCCACCGTATTATACTCCATTTTATGGGGCGCTGCGGTTTATTGCAGTGTATAGACAGACTTACGAAAAATCATCAAATTTAGATAAACTATACTAATAAAAAACTAAAGAGGAAAGATATAATTTTTATTTTTCAAACATAGAACTGCTCGACGTTTAAATCTAAAGAAAATATAACTAGAAACATTCACGCGAACCAGACAGCAGACGGGACTCGAATCCGCACCCAGTTTAGGGCTAGAAGCAATTCGACACGGCCATCAGGGCCGCGGTAGCATAATGGTCAGTGCATTCGCCCCGATAGCGAAGGGTGCTGGTTCGAATCCCATCTGCTGTCTGGTCTGCGTGGAATATTTTCTAGTTATATTTTCTTTAGGAAAGATATTATGGTACAATATATACATAAAGTATTTTTAATATAACAAGGAACTGTAGTCATGATTTTATTTATTTTTTAAGCATTTAACTGCTAGATGTTTTAAATCTAAAGAAAAGTTTACTAGAAAAAAATCCACGCGGACCAGGCAGCGGACGGGACTCGAACCCGCATCCTTCGCTATCCGGGCGAATGCACTGACCATTATGCTACCACGGCCCTATTAGCCGCGTCGAAATTTTCCTAGCCTTAAGCTGCAAGGCAGCGCCATCTCTTCGCATTGTAGGTAACCCACAATGTCAAATGAATACTTTTTCAAGTATTAAACATTTGAAAGAAGAAATAGCAATTATAGTTATGATTTTATTTATTTTTTAAGCATTTAACTGCTAGATGTTTTAAATCTAAAGAAAAGTTTACTAGAAAAATCCACGCGGACCAGGCAGCGGACGGGACTCGAACCCGTACGTTCCCCGAAGGAACTGTAGAACAGAAAGCAGGATCGTTGCCGTTGTAACATGTAATCACATAAAGTTGACATTTCAGTCAAGTGAATATAATTTTTATATTTAAATTGTTCCCTACGTACGTCCAGTTTAATGTTTGTTTTTCTTTTTGCCTCCAGTGCTGCGGACAGTGCCGACTCGCCTATATTGGAGGAAGCCGGTGAGAGCGGCTCGGAGCAGAAACCCAAACCGCTTGTCAAATATGGAGAGCTCGTTATACTCGGGTGAGTGTTTGCACCACATATGTAATCTCTTTAAAAATCTCTATACTTACTATGATGATGCGGTGACCCAAGTGGGTCTTGGCCTCCGGTAATTAGAAGCGCCCCCTAAGTCTGTGGTGGGCCACCCTTGTCCAATTTCCTGCGTTACTGCATATAAACTGGTTTGTATGATCCACGGCGGGCAGCCGCGGACATGCCGCGCCGACAGTGTCCGCCGGGCAGCTGCGGCGCGGTCTTTTTGCCCTCTGTGTGCTTTTGTAGTATAGGATTCACTTTGTGCTATCGTTCGCGGCGAAATTGACCGGCCCGCTCCGCCCGCCGTCTGCAAAGCGCCTCATCGTTCTTTCTGTGTTCTGTGGTCCAAGAAATGCACATTTGACTCCAGAGGGTCGACTCTCTTTCTCCGAAACGAACTTTCGATAACGAAGTTCAAACGAAATTAAATTTCGTTAATTTAAGGTTACACTCAATTTGGACGCTTCAATTTGATACACTATTAAATTGAAGCTTTCTTTGAGTAGGCTTAGAAAATCTACACCTCAATCTATATTCCAACGACGAATATTATTATAATTAAAAACGAACCATAAAAATAGTAAGAATATGCGAAGTTTCAATAGAAATTTCGTTTTTCGTTGAATTAGAGTAGGCCTTCAGTTGGTAACGGTCAACGCAGGCCGCCGTCGCTATTTGCTATGCTTCGACCTCCGATTTAAACCTCCGATTTAAAAGTTTCGGAACCGAAGGTGTAATAATAATCGGAAGTTCCGCCTTATCGGAATCGGAGTCGAAACTCCGTAACATCCCTGAGTAAACCTTGTAAGGTTGTGTTTAAGGTGTTATTCTGAATCCGGCTGCAGGCAGCACTTGCAGCCGCTGAAAGTGCTGTCTGCAGCTACGGCAAGCAGGTGGTATCGGAATTAATAGCACGTACGTGCTACTAGTGGAAAGGATAGTAATACCATATTATAGTGATACATTAAACAGCCATAAGTTAGACACAAATGCTTGTAAACGCAGGACTTCTGAATGCCGCGACCGAAACCTTTAAAACTGGCTGCAATTCTGGAGGTCTACTCTCTTTCTCCGAAACGAACTTTCGATAACGAAGTTAAAAAAGGAATTTAATTTCTTCAATTTAAAGTTAAACCTAATTTGAACGATAAACTATCAAATTGAAGCTTTCTTTGAGTAGGCTTGAAAAATCTACATCTCAATCTATATTCCGACGACGAATATTATTATAATTAAAAACGAACCAGATTATTAAGTTTTTCGTTGAATTAGACTTAGCCTCCAAATGCGGGCAAAGATATTTGATGACTCTACCCTGTCGTGGTATCTCGATGTTAAGTGTAAGTGGAGTGCAGCCGTGAAGATAGCTGATGCGGCAGAAAAGTTTCTGCTGCTATCTTCACGGCTAAGTACGGTCGTCTCCAAGGTCATGTTTATCTCCATAGGAAAAGTCATCGAAAACCAGTTTAGCGGCTTTGACCTGCGAGATTAACAAACAGAATTCATATAAAATGTTACTTTGAATGGATGATCTTTCTTTTTGTATTGCTATACCGAATACAGTGTATTTTGTCAGTGACACGAGGAGGCAACATTTTAACCGGTTCTCAAGTGAACTGACCCCGCCCAAACCTCAGTCTAATACGGGTGGGTCAGGTTAGTTAAAGCGCCCATTAGGCGGTCAATCTCGTTAACGAAATTTCTATCAAACTATTGAATGAAATCTGTCGGCTCCTTCCAAATCAATGTGGATTTTTAACTTTTATTGGTTTAGTATTTTTATTTACCTTCTAGCCTAGGAACCTAACACTTTTCCGGGATAGAAAGTGTAGTATGACTCTTTCCAGGCTACAATCTGTCTATGTGTAAAATTTTATCCAAATCCATTCAGCCGCCTACGCACTTAAACATTTATTATATAACTAGAACTATCATCTCGATTGCTGTGACTTAAACTATTTTTACTACTTACGGCTGCCCCCAGAGAAGTGATTTAATTTTAAATTTTGTTTCAACTTAAGGCTGTCTTCGCCACAAGGATAAATAATCTTCTTTGAGTGCTTATTTACTATTAATGAATATGCAAATATGTATATAACCTTTGGGTCTATTGGTTTTAATTTCTCATACGTCTAAAATGTTGTAAGCTTTATATGTGAACGCCACCCGAAACAAAGACATATTTAATCCTGGATTTTCTTTGTCGTAAGCCGCAGATTACTATCGCGACTGAACAACTCCAAGATAACTTAACTGTCCGTTTTGATAAACCAATTAATAGTAACAACCTACATTTTCATGTTAAACGGGGTTTCCAACTCGATTGTGATAAGATAACAAGTCGATAAACTGACTAATAGTGGTTTTTACAAAATACTTGTCCTGTACTGTACGCACATCTAACCTACTGGGTATTTAGTTGCTAATTAGGTACACTATTCCCGATTTAGTTTTTTTATATAGAGGTAGGCAAATGACCCTTCCCCACCTGATGTTAAGTGGTAATAAAGTCCAAACGCGAGGAGTTATAAACTGCTACACCAATCATTCTCACCTTGCCGGCCTGCAAAAATGCTTCTTCACGCCTCTCTTAAAGGACCCCAGATTATAGGAAGGTGGGAACACTTGCGCGGGTAAAGAATTCCACTTACGAATAGTACGACAAAGAAATGAGTCACCAAATTTCTTTGTTCGTGTAGGAATAGTGGCCACAGTAAGTCGGTGGCAAGAAGGCCAGCGCGCGTGGTTTTCTGTTGCTCAATACCTGTAAATGATGCAAGCGATCTGCTAGATTAAATCTTAACCTAGCAGACCACAATACTGTATTTTCGTAAAGATATCGAAGTTCTGCAAACGGCATATTTAGTTGCTAATTAGTTGCTGAACGACATCTTTATTTTGCTGATAACACGTGATTGTTACCTGGATTATTTTGAATGAAGGAAATATTCTTTGCTACGCTTTAGCAATGAATTGAAAAATGAATTGTTTTGAAATATATCATCCATCCATCCATCAGCCTTTCTCCGTTCACTGCTGGACATACGCCTCCCCCATAGAACGCCACAAGGCGCGGTCCTGCGCTATCCGCATCCAGCGATAAGATCCGAAATACGGAGATCCGTAGAAGGACCGGTGTGTACGACATAGCCCGAAGAGTTAGCACACTGAAGTGGCAATGGGCGGGCCACATCGCTCGAGGATCTGACAACCGTTGGGTAAGAAAGGTCCTCGAGTGGCGACCGCGTACCGGACGACGCAGCGTGGGGCGGCCCCCAACGAGGTGGACTGACGACATCGTCAAATGAAACATATAGTTGGCCATTAAGCATGCATAAATTTTGGTCAAATTATTTTTTCATATGCCATTCATTGTGAAACCATTACAAACTAATATGTTCTATACGTTGTTCAGTGTCCTATTATATATAGGTTGATTTTATGATAGTACTTGAAAAATACAGTATATGTACTTATACCTCGCACAAAACCATTGTGACGACGTCATCATAATCACAGACGGTTCAATGAGCAAACAAAAGCTTTTGGAAATATTGTTTAGGTACCTCAATTTATGAAAGTAACCGCCCGTCAAGTTGTTACTTTGATCATTTTCACAAAGTTGTCAGTTGAATTCTATGAAGCCTGTCAGAACTTAGGCAGAACAACAGGAGACAGCAGATTTTATTTATTTGTTTATTTTCCACAGAGAAAAATACTTAATAAATACTTATGTTTTTATTTTTTTAAGCATTTTTATTTGAAGTGGCAGTGGGCTGGCCATATTTGCCGAAGAACCGATAACCGTTGGGGTAGACGAGTTCTGGAGTGGAGACCGCGTCTAGGCAAACGTAGTGTAGGACGTCCTCAGGCACGATGGAGTGACGATTTGCGCAAGGTGGCTGGCAGGAGCTGGTTGCGAGTAGCCCAAGATCGATCTGAGTGGCGTGCAATTGGAGAGGCCTATGTCCAGCAGTGGACTAGGATAGGCTGTTGATGATGATGATGATGATGATGATGATGATGATGATGATGATGAAGTTATTAAGCATTTAACTGCTAGATGTTTAAATCCTCATTTGACATTGTGGGTTACCTACAATTCGAAGAGATGGCGCTGCCTTGCAGCTTAAGGCTAGGAAAATTTCGACGCGGCCATCAGGGCCGTGGTAGCATAATTGGTCAGTGCATTCGCCCTAATTGCAAAGGGTGCGGGTTCGAGTCCCGTCCGCTGCCTGGTCCGCGTGGTTTTTTTTTTCTAGTAAAACTTCATAAATATTTTTTTGCCAAATTGCAATGCAGTTACCGGCATCAGTTCCCGTGACATATGTATTAATCGTTTTTTTTATTAACAATTGTTTGTCTTATCTATAAGTACTTAAATTAATTAATACGTAAACCTTACATTTTTCCGATATAAAAAGTATCATTTTTGTCTCAATCCAGTTGATAAACCATTTAAATGATTGCCAAATCTAATAAAAATCCATTCAGTAGCTTTTGCGCGATTGAGTAACAATTACAAACTTACAAAACCTTCACAGTTACAAAATTAGTAAGATAGAAGATTTTTAGATTGTTTTTTAACATAAAGTATGTAATTTTAAAACATTTTCCTTATCATCACAAAAAGTTGGACAAACTTAAATAAAAGTTAAGACTTGTAAAAACACGAGTTTAGGAAACGATCTCATAGAAAATTTTCATTAAAAAACTTTTTTATTGTTGATTTTTTTCCGTGCAAATATTAAAAGCCCGTCAACCAACGGATAGGGTAGTTTCGGAAACTTGTAGATATCGCATTGGGAATCGGTTTCTGTTGATAGTGACATAATTATATATTGTTTTAGAGGCGCTCGATGGCGCAGGTGGCTAGCGTGCTCGGCTACGATCGTTGAAGTTAAGCAACTTTCGCAGTGGTCGGTCATTGGATGGGTGACCAAAAATATTCTATCTCGAGTTCCTCCGTGCTTCGGAAGGCACGT